ACAAGTTCTTCAGAGGAAAAGTTACAGGCCCCGCGGCGCGGTCTAGTGGCTAAAGTCCTCACCTTGAACACTCCTGGGTCCCACATGGGCACCGGTTCTCATCTGGGCAGCCCCATTTCCCATCCAGCTCCCTGCTTGTGGCCTGGGAAAGCAGTCGAGGACGGCCCAGAGCTTTGGGACCCGGCACCTGTGTGGGAGACCCGGAAGAGGTTTCTGGTACCCGGCTTCAGATCGGCACAGCACCGGCCGTTGCGCTCACTTTGGGAGTGAATCATCGGATGGAAGGTCTTCCTCTCTGTCTCTCCTCTCTGTATATCTGACTTTGTAACAAAAATAAATAAATCTTTAAAAAAAGGGAAAAGTTACTGTGTCGTTGGAAATCTGTAGGATCGATTCACATCCCAGGAGCACAGTGGGTTCAACGTGGAGCTACTTAAGCAGTGATTCAAAGAACCAAAACCGCAGAGCCTCGCAGCCTGGGGACAGCTCACCAGGTGCACGCGGTGGCTGGAGTCCGGGATCCGAGCATGGAGACCCCCGGCCTGGAACCCACCAGCAGCCAGCAGGCCGTAGGAAGTTTCAACCCCCAGGCCCAAGGCCGCGCTCCTCCCCAATCCCATTCCCCGCTCAATGATGGCGCAGGTGAGGCCCATTATTATTTTATTTTGATAATCTTTACATAATTGATTAGGGCAGAGAGGGTCAAGGGCTCCAGGAAACTGGATACCTCCATTGTTTCCACATTCTAGAAATCTTTTTAAAAATGCTTTGAATGCTGGGAAAATGGTTGAGTGAATGAATGAATGGATGAATGAGTCCGCAGCACTTCACTCTTCCTGTCCAAACACACACTCTTTCTACATGCATGTAGTGTGTGTGCATATGCATATGCGTATATGCCTGTGCCTGCTCACCCTGCTCCCTGGGGACTGCAAGCTGCTGGAAGCGCTCCCACGCGTGCATTTTGACGTAGCTCATTCATTCCCTCCGCAGTCCAAGGACGTATCAGCGCTGACTCCGCCCAATCCTCCACTCCCGAGCCAGATCAGGGAGCGGGTGGGAACACGGTGAATTCTGAACTAGTCTGTCTTCCGGGCACGGCTTCCCCGGCCCTTCTAGAAACCAGGGTTTGAGCTCGGAGGAAGGGCCCACCCGGAGTCCGCAGAGTCCACTCCGGAACACGCAGCACGGCTTGCAGGAGCCGGCCCCCAGCCTACCCTGCAGCCGAGCCCGGGCCCGAGCCCTGCGGGTGGAGTCCCGAGGGGGCGTACCCGCAGACGGAACTTAATCGGGGGGCGTGCCCGCGGGCGGGGCCTGGCCGGGGGTGGGGGGCCGGCTCGCCCTCGGCCGGCGGGCGGCAGGTCCTCGCATTGCCTCCGCGGCCGGGATCCAGCCCGCCGGCGCCGCCGGCCGCCCTCCCGCCTGCACCTCCAGGTGAGTTGGGGACCTCCGTGCCCTCCGCGCCCGTCCCTCCGGCGCCCGCGCTGGCCTCCGTCTCACCTCCGCGCAGGTCTTTTCCCGGGCGCCCTGGGCTTCCCGCCCGCGCCCGGGTCCCCACAGCGCCCCCCAAAAAGACCCCCGCAAAGGTCCCTGGGACTCTGCGCATCCCGATTCGAGACTGCGGGTGATGCTGCGCTTTCCTCACCGTCACCACCAAGTCCCATCCCCGGGACCCAGCGCCCTCCGGCCGCCCGGGGTCCCCGCGCCAGGACTGGGCGCCGTATTTTTAGCCGATGCTGAGGTGTCCTCCTATCTTTAGCCGCATTCGCGAGTGCCCTGAAACGGATCCGGGCTGGGCTTGGGTGCGCCGGAGGCAGGAGGCGGGGATGGGTGGGGGGCGCCGCCGGAACCCGAGCCGGGAGTTGGGGAGGGGGAGGGCGAGGAAGGAGAGGCAGCACGCCAGAGCTCTGGCCCCGTGCCGACAGGACACTCGGACATCGCCCAGGCCGGAAAGCACGGGGGTGGGGGGTTGGGGCTCGAGGAGAAGGCCCCTCCCAGGGGTGGGAGTGGCGGGCAGGGTCCCTGGGCGCCCCCTTGCCCATGCTTGTGTGGTGCTGAGATCAGAGGGAATCCCGCGCCGGCAAGGCGCAGCTGGCGCTCCTTGGACTCGCTGCTCCTTGGGGAGCGCCTGCCTGGAGGTTGAGTGGGGCTGGGGCGCGCAGGAGACCCCGGGGCGCCCTCGGGCCTCGCGGGGAGCAGGGAGCTAGTGGACGTGGGCGCGCCACCTGGAGGATGCCCTTGGGCACGGGACCCCCGGGGCGGGCTGCCGGGCGGGTCTGGAGCCTGGGGCCCCCACACCCTTGGTTTTCAGTCCGGTTCCAGGTACCCAGGTGCTGGGCGCTAACTTGAGGCCCGGCGACCCCATCGATTGGTGGCGGTGAAGAACTGTGGAGCCCCCTCACCCCCCAGGTGGTAGTGGCAGTGGCTCTGTGGACAGTCCAACTTGTAGAGGGGGGAGGTGAAACTTGGCCCAAGGTCACAGAGAACCGGGGGCAGCTGGGTGGAAGGTCGGGGGACCTGGAGCAGGGGGAGGGTGACTTGGAATGTGGCTCGCCCCCAGTGGCCTCCCATTGCTGGCGACAAGGAGAAACTGCCACCAGGAAGTCGTTTTCTCTGAGGGAGGCCAGGGCTCCTGTCCAGAAGGCTCCCCCCACCCCCAAGCAGCCACTGCTGCAGAAACCAGCTACAGTCCCTCCCACCATCCCAGCTTGTCCTGCTCCTGAGCAAGTTCTCAGATCTGTGCACATCAGGGGGTGGGGCACCCCAAGGAAAGCCTGGGGAGCCTCTCTGAGACCCCCCACTGTGCAGCTGGGCACCATCCACCCAGTTGGACTCCATGACCTTGGCAAAGTGCTGTCCCATCTCCAGCTCAGCTTCAGCCTCTTGCGTAGGGTTCCTGAGCCACAGGGAAGTGCGTGGCGGGTTGGGGCCTGGGGGTCTCGTGATTGCCAAATCCGAATACTTGGGGCTTGCTGCTTGTGTTTCTCAGCCCTCCCCTGGGCAGCGGATGCGGGCCCCACCCTCCCCAGCCTCGGTTCTCCCCACATCTGGAATTGGGTGGGTCCATCTGGCTGTGACGGAGACAGCGGGTCCGGGACGCCTGATTTGTTGTGGACACACACAGGCTGTCCAGGCGCTGCAGAGGGGTGGGGCGGGATGGGGTGACCCCGTCCAGGCTCTGAACAGATCCCACCCCTCCCTGGGCCCCAGGCTGCCTGAATGCTTCCCTTGAACTGCTGGCCCAGCCAAGAGGACAGGCTGGGTGCAGGTCAGGCAGCAGCCCCCAAGCCTGGCATTGCGGGACACCGGATGAATGAGGAGGGTGGGATTGCAGACTGTCTTCCTGGCATCCACTGGCCACCCCCTCCCCAGCTCCTTCCTGGCAGAGCCATCACTGCCCTGGAATGGGAGACGTGTCCTCTCGCTTACCACCAGGCTGCAGGTGCTGGCCTCTGACCCTTGGGCTAACTGACCCAGGGTGTCCGGTGCTGGGGTGGGGTTTCCCAAGTGAGGGCCAGGCTGTGGGGGTGAGCTCAGGACACTGCCCTTCCCCCTTCAGCACGGGATGAAGAAGGGGTGTAGAGGAACTGACAGCTCCCATGCTGTCCCTCCCTGCCAGCTCCAGGGAGGGGCCGTGGGAGCGGGTGGGCTCCCCTGGCTGGCGTCCTAACCCTGCCCTTGCCCGCTGGGTGACCTCGGATGGACTTCCTTGTTGGCCTTCTGTGCTGAGTCTGCATCTGGGCTCACACGTGTCTGCCGCCGCGGGCCGCACCTCCACCCTGGGAAGTAGGTGGAACGCTCACCCCGTTGCCTTCTGCCGGGAGCCCAGTGTGACACTTCCTTCAGTTTCTTCCACATTAAAAATAGATGTGTTTTCCTGACAACAGAAATAATATATGCATCTAAATAATGCATGCTCATGATCGTGAATTTGAGGTGCTGGGAGGAGAGGGGACCGTTTCTGATCCAGGCAGGTAAAGGCCAACCTGAGCTGCCACCATGTTGATGTCACCGCTGTCAACATGCAGGCAACGGTGGTTCCTGTTGCGGGCAGGAACGGTCTCCCTCCCTCAGTGGCTCATGTGGGGAACCGCTCTGACACCTGGTGCTGCCGACTGGTCAAGGATTAGTTTAGCTGGTAGGGTCGGCCACAGCTCCATCCGCTGGCTTGTTCCCCAAATGCCTGCCTCGGAATTTCAATCCAGGTCTCCGCCTGCATTGAGCACACTGTGTAAGTCCGAGGCCTTCCAAGGTGTGTTCCAGCAGGAAGCTGCAGTCAGAAGTGGGGTCACGGGAGGCACCCCATATCTCCAACCTGTGTTCTAAGTGCTAAGCTGAACACCCATTTCATGATGCTCTTTTTTTCTTGTTTTCAAAAACATGTATTTATGAGGTCAGCAGAGTGGCACATAGGCTAATCCTCTGTCCTGCGGCGCTGGCATTCCTAGGGGCACCAGTTCGTGTCCTGGCTGTTCCACTTCCCATTCCTGTCTCTGTTGCTGGGGACTTGTGACCAAAGTTCTTGGGACTCTGCCCATGAAGGAGACCTAGAGGAAACTCCTGGCTTCAGATCAGCTCAGCTCCAGCCTTTGCAGCCATTTGGAGAGTGAACCAGTGGATGAAGGACCCTGTCTTTGTTTATTTCTGCAAAACCTGCTTTTCAAATAAAAAAAAATCTTAAAAACCGCATTTATTGACTTATCCATTCATTGATTTGAAAGGCAGAGTGGCAGAGCAAGAGGGAGAGAATGAGAGCTAGTGAGACATTTTCTGGTTCACCATGGCCCCTTGTAGCCACAACAGTTGGGGCTGGACCAGGCTGAAGTTGGGAGCCAGGAGCTTTTTCGGGGTCTCCCACACGAGTACAGGGTCCCAAGGCTTTGGGCTGTCCTCGACTGCTTTCCCAGACCACCAGTAGGAAGCTGGATGGGTAGTGGAGCAGTCGGGATTAGAACCCGTATCCATATGAGATGCCATCGCTGGCAGGCAGAGGATTAGCTAGTTGAGCCATCACACCGCCCAATGACATACTTCTTTTATGGGGCACCTCAAGGACACTGGTTCCCAGGCACATCTGATGTTTGTCTCCTTGTCCCTGACTCATGTCCCTTCTGTGTTTCAGCTCAGCCCCGGACCAGGGCAAAGCTGTCAGGAACAGACAAGACCAGAGCGTGCCGCTACCCATAGCAACCCAGAATTTTGTCATCTCCTCCGTCTGACTCCCTTGCTTTGAACTTTCTAGTTTCTTGGGCCAGCTTTGCTCATACCCGCCAGCCTAGCCTCCAGGCCATTGGCCCGTGCAGAATACGTGCCTCTGGTTGGCGGTGCTAAGGGGGCCGGACCGAGCTCAGCATGTCCGCCAAGGTGCCCATCTACCTAAAGCGCGGCAGCCGCAAGGGCAAGAAGGAGAAGCTGCGGGACCTGCTCTCGTCAGACATGATCAGCCCGCCTCTGGGGGACTTCCGCCACACCATCCACATTGGCAGTGGCGGGGACGGCGACATGTTTGGGGACATCTCCTTCCTGCAGGGCAAGTTCCACCTCCTGCCGGGCACGGCCGAGGAGGGGTCCAGTGACCTTCCCTTCCGGTTCACCCACACGGGGGCTGCCACCACTGGCACCTTGCGTGGGCGCGAGCTCCCAGATGGGCTGTCCCCGCTGCTCAAGAACGCCATCTCCTTGCCGGCCATGGGTGGGCCTCAGGCACTCACCCTGCCTGCAGCCCAGGCTCCCCCGAAACCGCCTCGCCTGCACCTGGAGAGCCCCTCACGTTCCCCAGAGCCCTCCCCACCGGAGGCAGATGGCTTGGTGCTCTGGAGGCTCCCCGAAGCTGGTTCGTCCCTCAATGGGCTGCCCCCTGAGTCGGGCGCCGAAGAGCCTTTCTTGTCCCACGCCAGCTCCATGCTGTCCCTGCATGTGGACCTGGGGCCCTCCATCCTGGACGATGTCCTTCAGATCATGGAACAGGACCTGGGCAAAGTACAGATCCCCACGTAGGACCTGCAGCTGGGATGCCAGGAGGCAGGGTGTGGACCAATTCCCCTCTCCCCACCCCGGCTGAGGCATTGTGGTGCCCAGAGGTACCCACGTGATCCATTCTCCTTTTGAGCCTTGCTGACTACCCCCTCCATCCTCTCCCCAGGGCAGTGTGGACCTTGTTGCTTCCCCCTAATAGCCCACAAGGACACAGACACAAGTCAGCCCCCTGGGGACCACCACGGGGGTCCCCACTGCCACCATGTCCCACACCCCAGGCCCCTTGGACCAGGACCCTGTGGAAGTGGACTGTCCTCCCCCTGACTCTGCCCCATGGGTACCTGGTTTGGGGGTAAGAGGAAGAGCGAGCCAGAGGCCCAGGCACTGGGCAGGCCGGCAGTTCTGGACCTTGACCTTGATTCTTGTCCTGGACGGGGAGCGTGTGTGCGTTCTGCCTCGGTCCCCACCCCACCGCTTCCTCACATGACCAGGGCATTCTGGTTGCAATAAAACATGCTGCTGGTGGCGGTAGTGCTGGGTGAGCCACTGTGCCCTCATATTCCAGCTGGGGTGGGGGGACTCACTCCACCGCCACCCCCCTACCCCTTCCCCTACCCACCAAGGGATTTGTGAGGGCTTTCTCTTGTTCCTGTACCTCACTGAGCTGAGGCCAGAACAGACCGGAGTTAAGTTGTTTGTCCTTCAGTTCTGGCGAGTCCTGCCCACAGTGCTAGGTATGCCTGGAGAAACCAAGCGCAAAGGACTGACCAATAGGCCCCATGCCAGGGCCCAGTGGCTGCTGGGCCACCTCTCGAGAGTCAAGAGAGAGAGAGCGCACAGCAGTGGAGGCTGGTTGGCCGCGACTGGGAGGGGGGCCCGTGGTATCCACGGACGCCTTTGGTGTGGGCTGGGATCCCAGGCGGATGCAGTTCGCCTGGAGTTTATGTTAAAGTATAAGCAAGTCAGCCTGGGTTTCCAGCAGGGGTCAATACTCTGGAGATAAGAGAACTTTCTGGAATGCCTGGGGTCGGGGGGAGGGCAAGAATGAGAGTGGGTGCCAGATACGGCGGGATCAGCCAGGGACTGATTTGGGACCATATGTGAGGTGTGGATACTGAGGCCCCCCAGGAACCACTATGTGGCAAAACCCATCACCCCCAGCCCTGCCCTGCAAGAGCCCCAGTTTCCCCGGGTGGAAATGGATTCAGAGATACTTATCTTGCAGGACGGTCGGGGAGGGAAGAAAATCATGCAATGCCACATGGGAGATGTTTCAAAACCAGAGCTCCCATGGCCCAGGGAAGGCGAGATGCTGGAAGGTTGATGGCGGCCGAGGCAGTGCTGGCCGGGAGGTGGAGAGGTGGGATCCACTGGCAGGGGGCGCACCGTGGGCAGGAGGACGCACCGGAGACTAAAGCGGGGACAGCTGTCGCAGGCCTGGGCTCTGGATGAGGCAGGAGCAGGGGCGGGTCACCGAGCGACATTTTGCTCACGTTGATTTTGTTTTCTGTCTTTGTGTTACAGAAATGAATTCTTTTATGGTGGTAAAATGCACATAACACTTACCATATTAAAAATATTTAGGGGCCAGCACCATGGTGCAGCAGGCCAAGCCTGCCATGCTGACATCCCCAGATGGGTGCCAGATCGAGTCCTGGTTGTTCCACTTCCAATTCAGCTCCCAGCAGTGGAGGGCAGTGCAAGTGTGTGAACCACTTCAACCAAGTAGGAGACCCAGGAGAAACACCTGGCACCTGGCTTCAGACCAGCCCAGCTATGGCCACTGCAACCCTTGAGGGCAGTGAACCAGCACATGGAAAACTTCTCTGTCTTTTCTAAGATTTAGTTATTTTCATTGCAAAGCCAGATATATATAGAGAGGAGGAGAGACAGAAAAATCCTCCATCTGATGATTCACTCCCCAAGTGACCGCACGGCCGGTGCTGCGCCGATCCAAAGCCAGGAACCAGGAACCTCCTCCAGGTCTCCCTTGCAGGTGCAGGGTCCCAAGGCTTTGGGTCGTCCTCAACTGCTTTCCCAGGACATCCAGCAGGGAGCTGGATGGGAAAGTGGGACTGCCAGGATTAGAACTCGCACTCACATGGGATCCTGGCACTTTCAAGGTGAAGACTTCTGCTGCTAGGCCACAGCGCCAGGCCCTAAGATTTTTTAAAAAATATATTTGGGAAGATAAAGAACGATAAAGACAGCACTTGCTGTCCCCCAGATGCCTACAGCCCAGGCAGGCCAGGCTGAAGCAAGCAGCCAGGAACTCCTTCCGGGTCTCCCACATGAGTGGTAGGGCTCCCAGGAACTTGGATGGCAAGGACTGTGCCCTCCAGACACTCCCAGACAGCAGGAGGCGGGGGCTGGACCCCACTGACACGGGCTGCGGGCTCCCCCTGGTGGTGGCTGACCCCACCTGTACCACACACCTGTGTCCCCCCCACCGCGGATCCTGCCATTTTTAAGTGCACAATTTGGGGGCGGGCAGACCATTGCTCACTGTGCTGGACTGGCACCAGCACCTCCAGACCTCAGCTTGGCATCTTCCCAAACTCAAACCCCGGCCACGTGAAAGTCATCCGTTCTCTCCCAGCCCCTGGCAACCGCCATGCCACTTCCAGTCTCCGTACGGTGGGCTGCTCTGGCGACCTCACCTAAGTGCCACAGCACAGTGCCTGCCTCCGGGTGGCGGACACCTCTCGCAGGTCCTCAGGGCTCCTCTGGGTCGCGGCTCGTGTTGGAATTTCTCCTTTGAGGGACGGATCGGTTTCTGTGCGTGCCACGTTTACCCACGTGCGTAGAGCTGCCAAGCAGGCACGCTGGGAAGAGGGACTGCCGTTGCCCCAGTCCCTGCCCCCACAGCTCTGGAATGGAACTGTTGGATCACTGGCTAATATTAATTGAGAAACTTCCACCTCATTTTTCACACGGCACTTGGCATCCTCAACAAGCTTATCGCATGGAGGGCCATTTGACATAATACCTGCAGTGGGATTTGAACCCAAGTCTGTGGACCCCCAAGGCCCCATGCTGGACTGCAACCCTCTGTCCCTGGGTTTAGCCACCTGCCATGGGAAGGCAACAGGCTCCCTTACTGGGGAGAGAGCAAGACCTTCTCCCTGGCTTTATTAGGCTGCAAGTCCCACAAATTCCACCCACAAAACAAATCTCCCCAAGCAGGGAGGGAATGTGCTGAACAGTCAGAGAATGACCAATGTCTTCCAGACCAATCTTCCCAACACTCAACATTTGTCCATTTCCTCATTCCGCTTACCCTCAAAAAAGCATAAGCTGACTTATTACAGAGCAGCGAGCTCTTTCTGTCCAAATGTCACATGTCAACAGCCACCGACACGTGACTTAGCCTTCATCTGTGACACCAGCATCCCTGTAGGTGCTGGCTGGAATTCCAGTTGCTCCACTTCCAGTCTATCTCCCAGCCAATGCGCCTGGGAAAGCAACAAAAGATGGCCCGAGTGCTTGGGCGCCTGTACCTATGTGGGAGACCCAGAAGAAGCTCCTGGCTCCTGGCTTCAGATCAGCTCAGCTCTGGCCACTGCAGCCATTTGAGAAGTGAAACATCTCTTTCTTGGTCTCTCCTCCTCTCTCTGTAGCTCTTTCAAATAAAAAATTAAAGTTGCCTGTGGGCCACATCAGAGCCCCAAGGTTCAATTCCTGCGTTGGGTTCCAGCTTTCTGCTCTTGGGCACCCAGGAAGCAGCAGGTGGCAGCTCAGTGGTAGGGTCTCTGATCCTCGGTGGGAGACCAGGTCACTCACATCCTTGACTCCTAGCCTAGACCCACCGCTGCAGGTATTTGGAAGGGAACCAGTGGCTGGGATATTTATTTTTTCTTTCTTAAAAAAAAAAAATCTATCTATCTCTTTGCTTCTCAAACACGTACAGAAAATGATACCCTGGCTCAACCTGCTCCCCATCCCTCGTGCATCTGTTACCCGAGTCCAGGTTGTTCTCTGTGAAATCAGCTTGCCTCTGCAGTGGCGTGGGCCTGGGGCTGGGACGTGGGGCCACTCGGAAGCCATCTGTCCGTTCTGTCCGTTGGGCAGGACCGTTGCCTTTCTTGTTACAAGGCTCATGCAGAAGACTTCCTGCAGGCTGGGTGACCTGCCCTGCCTGCATCAGTGGGCACGAGGAGGGGCTGTGGCAGCCGCACGAGCCCCTGCCCTTCCGCACTATGCCATGAGCTAAGGTGGCACGAGGCCCCATGGAAGCTGCGAAGGGCCAGGGCCCTGCCTGCGGACTGTCAACCTCCAGAACCGTGAGCCAGAGGACGCTTCTTTCCTTCATAAATCGCCTGGCCTCAGGTGCTGTGTCATAGCAGTGGATAATAGGGACACCAGCCCCATCTAATCATTTGCATGCAAGCATTCGTGCTGTAAGTCAATAGCAATCAAATACATGAGAGTTGAGGGAAACAGTGCAGACACAAATTATGTAAATTATGTAAGAAATATCTTGGGGGCTCAGTGCAGTACCCTAGCAGGATCCCATGTGGGCACAGGTTCTAGTCCCGGCTGCTCCACTTCCCACCCAGCTCCCTGCTTGTGGCCTGGAAAGCAGTCCAGGACGGCCCAAAGCCTTGGGACCCTGCACCCGTGTGGGAGACCTGGAAGACGCTCTTTGCCTCACATCAGCTCAGCTCTGGACATTGTGGCCACTTGGGGAGTGGACCAACACATGGAAGATCTTTCTGTCTCTCCTCCTCTCTGCAAATATGCCTTTCCAATAAAAATAAATAAATCTCTCTTTTGTAAATGTAAGAAATATCTTTGGGGTTGGCATGGTGGTTCAACAGCTGCTCCTGTTCGGCCCCTGCTTGTGGCCTGGGAAAGCAGCAGGCGGCCCAGGTCCTTGGGCCCCTTGGGTCCTTGGGCCCCCGCACACACAAGAGATCTGGAAGAAGCTCCTGGCTCCTGGTTTCAGATCGGCTCAGCTCTGACTATGGTGTCACTTAGGAAGTTAACCAGTGGATGGAAGATCTCTGCCTTTTTCTCCATAATTTTGTCTTTCAAATAAAAGCAAATAAATCTTTCAAAAATATGCATTTATTTAGAGAGAGATACACACAGAGTAACAGACGGGCCTTCCATCTGTTAGTTCATTCCCCAGATGGCCAGAGCTGAGCCGACCTGAAGCCAGGAGCTTCCTCAGGTTCTCCTACGCAGGGTCCCGAGACTTTGGGCCGTCTTCGACTGCTTTCCCAGGCCACAGGCAGGGAGCTGGAAGGGAAGTGGGGCTGATGGGATTAGATTTGGCGCCCTTATGGGATCCTGGCAAATGCAAGGTGAACTCTAGCTGCTAGGCTACTGCATCAGGCCCACTGTTTTTTTTTAAAGAATGGAGTGCCAAAGAGAGACAAGAGAGACAATGCCTAAACAGTGATAGCAGCTCTTCCATGTGCAAGCTTTCTCTCCAAATGCGGAGTTCTTGCTACCTACCACCTGCTGCCCCCCAGGGAGGACATCGGCTAATCGAGAGCGGGGTGGCCGGGATCCAGGAAGTCACTCCAACATGGGATGCACACCTGTCCCGACCCTGCC